TTATTTTTATCTGTATATTTTCTTTTCTCTTCACTATAAATTAATCGGTTTTTGAGATTTGGTTGTCTTTGCTTTGCTTTTTATACGGAAAACTGGTAATCTTTGAATTGAGGGTTTTGAATTCTCTATATTGAAGTGTGATGCATGTCAGCAGTTGTGAGTGGAGGCCACAATCCCTCTGGTTTTTAGTGTTCATAATTTGGACTTGTACAATTAAAAAAAAAGGAAAGAAATAATAAAAAAACATGAAAATTAACTTCATTTTCAATGGTATATTTCGAACGCTAGATATTAATGGGTTTACAAGCCTTCACATGTGTGTGTATATATATATTATTTTACCTTTATCATATCTTTTAAATGTAAAACTTATCACATTTTCATATAAACAATAATTTCATTTCTACTTTAATAACATAAAAGTAAAATAAGAAACAAATAATATACGACAAAAATGAATAATGCTATAGTTATAATATTACGTAAAATTATAAGTGTATAATTTTAGTTAATATTAAATAAAATATAATATAATATTAAATAGACAAATATATATAATATTATAAGTAGACATTCAAATGAAAAAATCAATTATATAATAATATATTATATTATAAATTTATTATATTACATGTTATTATAACTATAACATTTTCATTATTAAAGAGAAAAGAAAAAGTTTAGGGAAGTAATAATATAAGAGTAGAGGTGGCAATTTGCCTTAATCCTCACATGGCCTTGTGAGAATCCCTACCATGGGCGCAAGACGAGGAGGAATATTTCTTCACATGCGACAGAGACTGAGAGCATTTTTCCTTGTGAAATTTTGTGAGAAATTTTTCTCACCTCGCGGGGCTCATGGAGATCTCCATCCTCCTAAAAAATTAAAAAAATATAAATTAATTTTATTTTAAATTTAATTCAACCTATTATATCAATACATAATATACATTCAAACCCAAAATTAATTTAGTAAAAATTAAACTTAACTCAATTATGTTAGTTTAACTAGTTATATTTGATTGATTTGTATTTATGTCTAGAACAAGTCTCTTGATTTAACTATTTATGGTGAATCAATTTTTATTTATATTTGAATAGTTTATATTTGATTTTATATTTAAAAAATTTTAGTTAATTGTATTTAAATTTTTAAAATTTTGTTTATTATAAGTGAATATTATTAATTATATATAAAAAATTTATATTTTAATATAAATAGGAAACAAAGATGGGAGGTAGAATTTGTCCACCGTAAAAGATCTCAACGGGAATAGAGACAGGAAGAGGCCCCCGACCTTGCAAGACCCCGTTGTCACTCCTATATAAGAGTTATGAGAAAAAGTTTCTTATTTTTATCGTTTACGAATTTAATGATTGGGCCACATGAAAGGCCTTGTTGCTGGAAAGCCCAATGTGAGGCCAGAATGTTCCGCCCACATCGGCCCGATAGCTACTAAGGTTGGATTTAAAGAAATTGGCTTTTAGTTTATAATTTTATATTAATATTTGAATACAATATTTAATATAAATTTTTTTTAATTTTTAA